CCATTCTCAAGGTGAACGCCCTACGAGTCGAATGCAACGTCACGACTGGCGCTTACATCAACGAACGTAAAGTGCACACCATACACGAATTCTTTCCGGTCGTGCCACCCGGATACAAGATCATAGAGGTGCCATCACACGTCATTTATCTACCGATCGCTACCAAGACGATAGATCACCTGCAGCTGCGAATAGTCGATCAAGACGGGGATCTGGTGAATTTTCAAGGAGAAGTCATAACGATCAGGCTGCACGTCAGATCCATGCGATAATCGGTATCGTTTATAATAGAAAAATCGTCAATGGTTATAATAGTGGACTGATATGCCAAAGGGGGATCAGTCGTCAACCGCTTCTCAAGGCGCTAACACGTCGAAACGTCTTGTTTCTGGAAAATCTAGGATTCAAGGTCACGAGAGGAAAGTAAAGCGTTTGTTCTGTTGCATTCTTTTCGTCTGCCGCGTACCATGGAGGAAGAAACGCTGAACATTCAGACACCGATCGTCTTCGATGAATCTATAGCACACTATGAAACGCATGCGCATCAACCTTACGCCTCGTCAACGTTCAACAACAGCGACGAGGTTCGAATCTCCGTTCAACACCAAGACCTATGCTTACTACCAAATCGTCAATGGTTATAATAGTGGGCCGATATGCCAAAGGGGGATGAGTCGTCAACCGCTTCTCAAGGCGCTAACACGTCGAAACGTCTTGTTTCTGGAAAATCTAGGATTTAAGGTCACGAGAGGAAAGTAAAGCGTTTGTTCTGTTGCGTTCTTTTCATCTGCCGCGTACCATGGAGGAAGAAACGCTGAACATTCAGACACCGATCGTCTTCGATGAATCTATAGCACACTATGAAACGCATGCGCATCAACCTTACGCCTCGTCAACGTTCAACAACAGCGACGAGGTTCGAATCTCCGTTCAACATCAAGACCTATGCTTACTACCGAGCAAAAGTTCGCTGCACGTGTATGGAAAGCTGGTCAAGGAAGATGGGTCCACAGCGACTGCGAGCACGACTCTGGTAAACAATGCCATTTGCCATCTCTTCGAGGAGATTCGATACGAAATGAATGCTATAGAGATCGATCGAAACAAGAACGTGGGACTCACGAGTCTTATGAAGGGATATGTTCCCCTGAATCCCGGCCAACGATCCTTGATGGAGAACGCCGGTAGGCTCGACGTCAGAGAACGGGAGAAGTTGACCAATGCGGATGGTTACTTCGACGTATCCATTCCGCTGAGTATGATACTGGGTTTCGCTGAAGATTATCGCAAGATCATCGTTAACGCTAAACACGAGTTGATTCTGACGAGAGCAAAGAGCGATGTCAATGCAATAATGCAAACTGCTGCGGAAGAATGCAAAGTCGTAATTCACAAATTGGAACGGTTGATACCGTACGTAAAGGTGTCGGATCGACGAAAAATACAACTGCTGAAATTCATCGAGAGGGATGCACCCATCTCCCTGAGCTTCCATACCTGGGAGCTGTACGAGTACCCTCTACTCCCCACCACTTCGAAACACGTGTGAACCGTCAAGACGTCGACTCAGTTGGAGAAACCACGATACGTGATACTGGGTTTTCAGACGAGCAGAAAGAATAAGAAAAATAAGAACGCTAGTCACTTTGACCACTGCAACATCAGAGACGTTAAGCTCCTTTTGAATTCGCAATGTTATCCCTATGGAAATCTGAATCTTGACATTGATCATAATCAGTTTGCCCTGCTCTACGAGATGTATGTAAACTTTCAAGCTACGTACTATGACAAGGATCCCGAGCCTTTGCTTAAGAAGAATGAATTTCTCGAGTACGCTCCATTGATCGTTATCGATTGCTCCAAACAAAACGAGTCACTCAAACTCG